CCCAGTCTCGGGCCAGGATGCGGAGCAGGTTTAAATCTCGGACCTGCACGTTCCCCTGGAGAAAGAATTTTGCGGCAAGTGCCTCTCGCCTGAGTAGAACAATGCCAAGAGGAAAGCATCTGTGTAATTCAGGAGGTGGGGAGAAGGTTCCTGACTTGTTCTCTCACCTCCGTTAATATTTAGGATGTGCGGCGTGTCCCACGTTCGGGTCTGAGCTACTTTCGAGCTGGGATTGCAAGCAAAGTCGGGGCAGGGAGAGAAATGTGTGGACGGTGCTGGCGAATTGATCCGCCGGCAGACTGCAAGTGGGACTTCCCCAGGCGAAACACTCAAAAGTTAGTGGGGAACAAGAGAGCCATTTTTAGTCTTCAGGGTCTCGGCCTGCTCCTCTGTAAATGTACGGAGGCCTCCGACGGGGTCGCGAAGAAAATTGTTTGTGTTTGACGAGCTGTGATTTCTCTCGCCCGCTGTCGCCGAAGTACTCTCTCGATATTGTTTGACGTTTGCTTACCTTACACAGCTTTATACAGAACCTGCACTCTCACTTCTTCTGTGTATGTGGTCATATTAACCCTGCTGAATCTTTGTTTAGTGCAGGGAGGTGTTGGGGAGGGGGGGAGGGGAAACAGGGCAAGGGGGCATGGAGAGAAAGTGTTATAAAGTGAATCATCCATGTCATTTGTCCTGGCTGCCAAGGTGCTTGGAACCCTCACGCCAAGAGGATGCTTTTCTACGGTAGCTGTGTGGTTTGCCTATGTTCGGAGCTGTTGATCTGTAAGTGTACCCTTTATGTTGCAGGATGTAAAAGTCTTTAGTGAAGATGGAACAAGCAAAGTGGTCGAGATTCTAGCAGACATGACAGCCAGGGACCTCTGTCAGCTGCTCGTTTACAAAAGTCATTGTGTGGATGATAACAGCTGGACTCTAGTGGAGCATCACCCTCACCTAGGATTAGGTAGGGAACGGTCAAAGGGGTGGCGTGGTTACCTGGGAACATGAAATATGTGTAATTCGTATTAATCTGCTTCCAGCCAGAACGTTTTCTTTCCATTGCTTTTATTTGTACAATGGGCTGAAGTCACATACGTGCTTTTTGTGTGTTACAATTTGATGTGTTAAGCGTTTAAGCAATTTTAAGTCCATCTCTTATTTCCCATCCTCTATTTTTTTTGTTACAAAAAAGAAAAATAATTGTCTAATCTTCACGCTAGTGCTCTGTTGCTACCTTGCTGTGTCTGAAGCTATTGCAAATAAACAGCTTAAACAAATTAAGCTTGATCCTTAGAGTACGGGTCCTGTGAAACAGCTCAGCTCATCACCAGCTGGGAGACCTGGGTGAACAGACTCAGCTTCGCATACCTACAGTAATGCTTACGAAAGCTAGACATGCTGAAGCGGGGGAAGGGATTGGCTAAACTGGACTTCAGGCAGGGAAAAAATGGTGGCACCACCTGCAAATCCATGGGCAATTTCTGGACCTGCAGTGGCATCTGCTCTCCAGGCAGCAGCTCCTCCACCTGATTGGAATTAAGGTGTCATGGTTACAGTATCAAGAAGGCAGCAAGAGGAAGAACTGTGGGGAATTAAATAACACCATGAATTGGTTTAATTACGGTACCTGAAAGCATCTCATGTTATTCAGTCTTGCTTTTCCTGTTATTTTGTGGCACTGATTAGTTGCAGGGTTCTGCTGTGCAGCTTGCAACTGCGTATCGCTCAGATACGCTATCTATAATTCTGCGTAGCACACAATAACGCTCTAGAAAGTGCAGCGTTTGGAGTATTAGTCGATAGACTTCACGGGGAATTTTTTCTAGAAAATAAGAGGAAGACAAATCGTAAGCTGTGATCACCAATGCTGGAATTGTGAATGCTATCTGTAGCTAACAGAGGGGGGTTTTATGTCTAAAAATGTAATTCAGAACCCTTACAAATAAAAAAAGGAAACAGTTTGCTGGAGATGCAGTGCCTTAAACCGGTATTGTTAAATGTGGATAAATTCACTGCTCTACAGAATAGTGCTAAAAAAAAAAATAAACCATAGGCTATCCCGATGATTTATTGTTTTTATTGGGCATCTCTCCTAATATAGAAATATGTGAAAAAATTAGCTTCAAACATTCACTTGAATATGTCTGTGATACGCTTTCAGTTCTGAGGACATAGGACAAGATGAAGAGTTAAGGTATAAATTACACAGTCTCTGTATCTGTAGCTTAATATGCCGCATGCGCATTTCTAACAACCTTTACAAATTTTCAGTTTTATCAATGCTCATTAAACTACCAGGCTCTCTTTTTTCTATATTCTCTTTCCCATCGTTGCTGATTGCCAAGGTATTGTGTAAACAGAAGCCTTCTCCTTTGTAACCAACATCCTTCTCCTGCCAGATTCATTCAATGATGCCACAATTCAGTGTTTGTGACATCACAATAGCTTCCATGGTGACTAATTGTGCTGTCAAACTCTGGTGTGTGACATCTCTGAATGAATCGGGCAGGAGGCTGATTAGGAAATCAAAAGCTTCTGTTTACACACAAATAACTTGGTAATTAACAATGATGGGAAAAGAGCAAGATACTTATCAGGCTGCATTTATATACATTGGGACCTGCCTGCCTTGAACCTCTGTTTCATACTGAAGCACAAAGCGGGGCCTCTGCTGTTCACGAGAAACAGGGTGTGCAGGTTGGGCCTTCCACAGCAGTCTCCAAACTTGGTTCCTCAGGGACTGCTCCAGGACTGTCCTCTCTCTGTAGGCCACGCAGCAGGTCTGCGTGAAAAGTAAAGGCAGCCTTTGGCCGTGTAAAGCAAACAAAGGAAAAAATATTTAAAGAGTCAAAAAAAGAATGTCATGATGCTGATTTCATGTATTTGATAGGATGTGGACAGAAAAGGGAATGAAAAAGTTCATTTAACAGGAGAAAAAAACATCCAGTTTCTTGTATTTAGGGACCAAAGTATATGCTGTGACATATTCAATAGACTTCGAATGCAGACTTTCATGCGTCCACCCAGGTTTGGTTGCAGTTTGAATTTTTTATTATACAGCTGCTTATTTCCAGCTTCTCAGTAGCTTAAATGCTTCCCTGTGTTTCAGAGACTGTCAAATCAAGGTAGTAATGGTCTGCACCTCAAATGAAGTTATTATCAGCTGTCCAGTGTTCCATATTTTTCCCTCTGGAAATAAGATAATATAAGCATGAAACGATGGCAAACAGATACTTAGCAGCGTGGACAGAAATATGGTTTAGGAGCGGTGAAAATTCTGTGTTTCCAGAAGACATTATTTCTTACTCAAGACATCCTTGCTGACTTAATGCTGTAGCTGGTAATCTTGAACCCTACCGAAAGAGGCAAGTTCTTCCTTCATTAAGTTCGCTACCTTATTTTTTCCCCCGATCTTGCCTAATACTACTTTCCAGAAGAGCTCAGTTTGCAAAACCAGTTAATCTTTTTACTGTTGGGCAGATTGAGGACAAGAGCAGAATTTTGATGCCACCTGCATATATATCATGTGATGATCTTCTAGTCCCAGCTTTTAAGGCACCTTCACCTGACTGCTTACTTTGAACACAGTATTTGTGTTCTCACTGGAGGCAATGGTGTGACAAATTAGCATCAGGCTCTCCTGGATGTAACATGTAGAAATGATTCTTTCTAGATACCACTAGTATCTAAATCACTTTCTGGTCAAGATTTAAGCTGTCTGAGAAACTTAAATTGATCCCATTACTTCATCTGCAAATGGAAGTGCACCGAATTCAATCATAAAATGCCATATTGTCCCTATATGCTACTCCATGCTTAACTCATCAGTTTAGGATGGGGATTAAGATACTTGTATTGGATGTTAACAGAAATAATAATAATGATGACAAAGACAAGACTGTCGTGATAGTATGTGTCTGGACACATAAAGAATCCCTACCTACAAACCTTTTCCAGCTCCAGAATTGACTGTACATCTTACTTAATATAGTTGAAGCAGAAAACAAAAGTAGTAGGGCTCTGAGATACATATGTAGGATTAGAAGAAAGAATTGCTGCATGGTTTTGTACATGAATTTTCTTTACATATGCATTGAATTTGATATCCCTTCATCCGAATGAATTAAAAGTGGAACAGATAGCACTTGCTAAAATGCGAAAACGGGGCAGGCTATTTTACACTTTGGTCCACCTGTCATTTGTAGTCATTATGTAATTGGGAATTTTGGGCCATGCCTGCAAGTTTTTCACGATGGAATCAGTCTCCTTTTCCCATCTCGTATTACTGCTACCATTGTATAGAAGTTTAGATAATAATACAGGTCAATTTTGGGAGAAAAAATAAAAAGTCTGTCCTATTTTTCCAGGAAATGTGTAGAGGAGACCAAGTTGAGCCTATTAGATAAACTAAAAGGAGACATTTCTGGTCACTTCAGCCACAGTGCCACTTAAAGACAGGTTGACCTATTGAAGTTAACAGACTGACATCTGTCCTTCTGATTTTGTAGCAGGAAGCTCAAAGCAGGGCTGAGCTTGAGTTGCTGGTATGTGAAGTGGCAGTTCATCCCATTTGTACAAACTGAGTGCAGATTACCAAGGACCAGTTAGCTCAGTCAGTTGAGCGTAGCGCTAACAGCGCTAAGGTCGCAGGTTTGATTCCCGTTCGGTCCCTGTGTGTTGCCTAATCTAGCGGCAGGGAGGCTGGATTAAAATGATCTCTGAGGTCCCTTCCAGCTTAGGCCATTCTACGATTCTATGACCTTCCAAGTGCAAACCTTCTGTGAAGTGGTCGCAAACTCACCAGGACCAGTTGCCTTTTTACATGCACATGCTATGAAATGCTGCACCTTTTCTTCAAGGTGGCTTTCACGGTCAAAATGAAAACGTAAATGTTAAATCGGCAGGAGTATCGCCACAGAATCTCAAAAGGATCTTGATTTAGTAAGGAAATACATCTCAGTCAGTTGCCTAAAGCATCTAAGAAACAGTTGCTGGGTATATTTACACAAATTGATGATAAAATATGAGAAGAAATTGTCAAATGTTCATCTATACTGCATTTTCTTAGGACGGAATGAAAAGGACACAGTTCGTCCCCACCCTTAGGTGAAAAGTGTTCAGGAAAGCAAAGACCACAACTTTGGACAATGACAGAAGGAGGCAGTAGCATGACACGGCACCTTTCAGAGTTCATCCTGTGGTGAAGATTCATACCAACATAATTAATCTTTTTTTCTGAAGAAACACAATTTAAAAAACGGGAAGGCGCTCCACCCTTATAGGCCCATTGTCCTCATCACAGCGTGGAGGAGATTTGACTTTTAATTGGTTGCCTAAAACCATCATAGCAGCAATAAATCAGCAGCGATATCTGAAACTTCACCTGCAAAGCCCGCAGGTAACCTGGAGGTTTAGGTGATGAATGCTCAGGTGGTGCAAAATGTCCTTGGTTAACTGCTGCCCACAGCACTATTGTCACTTATGTTAGTTGAAGAACTACCCCTTAAAAGTGGTGTTACCGCCAATGCACTAAGAAGCAGCTTTTTATTTGAGAGCAGCCCAGTACGGAAAACCTTCAATGTTAACCCCTTGAAACACAATCTGCAAGAAGGCTGGACATAGCGAATAAATGCTGAAGTCATCAGTAGGCTGGTGATGACTGACAACCTAAATGCGTGTGAAAAAGACAATGGGATCATTGAGAGAGACGTTAAATTTTCAATCTAAGAATTTACATTTAACTGCTTAGCTTAATGTAAATTAAACTAATTTAATCAAATCATTCAAGTGACATTCAGAAGCTTCCTACTTTCGGAGATACCGATGACTGCTCGCTTTCTGTCCTGAAAACACCCAAAGAGATCTTGGGTGACAGCCCGACATTTCTAACCATGGCAATGCAAGGATGCAGGAACACGAAGTGGGGAAGGGACTCTCCAAACTTCATTGGCCAGCAAGTTGCATTCATTTTGTTTAGAGCTTTGTGAAAATTATTTTTTGTCTGACCTCGGTATTTTATTTCCTATTATATAAGGGATGGAAGTATTGACTATTAAGACTTTTGAAAGATGCCTAAATATTTTCTTGAAAACTTTTGAAAATCTGCTGAGATAATGAGTTCATGAAGTAGTGCACACTTAGCCCAGTTGCCTCCTTTTGAGTTACTGCTTTCAGTGAATGGGATTTGTTAAGCTATCTGTTCCTGCTTTGATGTGCCATTCTTTCGACCAGGGAAGTGGTGGTTATGGGGAGTTACCTTGTAACCAAATCTAGAGCAGAAAATTGCCCTGTCATGTGTACAAAACATTTGTCTCTGTCAGTATTCCTGTAAAGTAGATCCTGTGACCTCTTTTATAATAAACCCCATTGTCTAGCATCTACAATAAAGGCCTGGAGTTCACCTTGAAATGAACTGGTTTTATAGAGTGTGATCAGATAGGACGCTGTATTTCTCTGATAGTTCAAGACCTAAACGGTGGCTTTTCCGCAAGGCTTTTTCCCCTTAAATCTGTCCACCTTGCCAGTTCCACAGCACATAGCCAGCACCAAAAGAAGAGGTTCATGTCTGTTATTTAAGCTACTGCATATAAAAAATGTGATATTCTTTCCTTTCTCAAAAGTCCGTGGTTATAAGCCCTGATGTAGGAAATCACTGAAGAGCACTGCTATGCAATGTTAAACTTTGTAATGCTTAGACCCTAGTTCCTTTAAATGCCTCATGCCATTTAGTTTCTTAAAAGGTAATGGAATTATGCCTGGTTGTTTTACTCCTGTTCTTTGGAATTTGGTCTCACTGCTTCTGGTTGACTATGTGTTAACATCATGTTCTTTGTCCACAGAGAGGTGCTTGGAAGATCATGAACTCATAGTTCAAGTCGAGTCTACAATGGGAAGTGAAAGTAAATTTTTGTTCAGGAAGAATTATGCAAAATATGAATTTTTCAAAAATCCCATGGTGAGTCTTATTACTTAGTTGTTTACTCCACAGAGAGAAGGATGGATTGCAGTAACATTGCTGAGTGCTGTTATGTCTTAAACATCTATATAAAAAAAACAACCACAAAAAAACAACCAACAAACAGACTTTTTTCCAAAGAAACTTTAACCAATGTTTAAATTCCTTTTACTCTTCTCCCAGCCTAAAACCCTCAAATGTTTTCAAGTTACCAAATATATTTGTTTCAAAATGGCCATTGTTTTGCTGAGGAGTGACCAAGACAGGGAAGTCTTTGTTGGTTTAAGAAAAACAGTCAGAAGTGCAGTTTACTCATTATCTTCGAAGCTGCTTTATTTTGAAGCAAATTGATGTCATAGCATGCAATATCCAAACCTTTTCATTTCTGACAGTAATCATTAAAAAAAACCCCCACCTAGGGCTAACCCCTGAAACACTTACTACATACCAGGAACTTCCTATTGTTACATATGTTAAGCAGTGTCTGATATATGGCTGTGCTTTACTAGTGTGCTTTGCCTTCTTTACTAATCCTAGTAACTCACTCTCTCTATGTCCTCATGTATATTCATTCTTGAAAATCATTTTATTTCATAGCTATACTTACTCCTGGATTTGTAAGACCATTCGACTGTTGTAATTTTAAACTGTTTGTAGTGTAACTGCTTATTTGGGAATGATTTCTCACATTTTATCTAAACAATTAAGTTGGAACACGCTGTTGACGTGAATCAATGTCAGCTGATGTGACCCATCTAGATAGCTGAAGAATTATCCAGAGGTGGTTTAGATGAGACTAGATTTTGGGTGAGTCAGGCATTTGTGGTGCCAGAAGGAAAACGTTACATGAGGTCACAAGAAAACTCTGCTGGAGTTAGTGGGAATGATAAATTCATTCTTTTCCTCATAGACGTTAATACACGGTTCCTGCATCCCTTCACATGTGCTTGTACGGTACGTTTGTCATCTGCTGGTGCTTGTTCCAGAGGCTATGTCTTGACTTAGTGCCTGAAACATTTCTGTACATGGAGTGTTTGTAATTTTTTTTTTCACTTCTGTTGATCTTCCCATCTGATAACCTATGAACATCTGAGTGTTGTACAGAAATTTTAGTGTCATAGGAGCTAGCACATTGGTTTCACGTGGTATACTGCAATTAATGACAGAGCATGGGAGTAAAATCCAGAATGCTTGGCATTCAGTCCCAGGCTCCTACAATCAGAGAATAAATCATTCTTTTGGTGTAAGAATACGAAGGCTCCCTATCCGTTACATTAGCTATTACCATATGGCACTGTTTCTACTCAAGAGAGGCTGATAAATGCTAGTTTTCGTAATTCACTGTGCAACTTACCTGGCAGGAGGGTGCTTCCTCTTCAGCCCATCTCTTTATGCCCTAAAGACTGAAATTTATATTGCCTGAAGAGTGATGGATGTTCTAAACTGGAAATGGTTTTGTTGTGATTCATCTTGTTATAATCAGTCATTGTTTTACTTCAGCCATTTCTTTGCATCTTCATGTTTCAAATAACGTTTAAAAACTTTGAGAATGACTTAATATAACTGCTGTGGTGAGTAAATTCAGTGTAGTGAATTATATAGGCATTTTAAAATATGGCAAATGAAAAGGGGAACTGGAGGAATAAATCTGAAGTCAAATCATTGATTTAGCAGTCAGCAAACTGTCTGACCTTTGTCATGCAAAGATTCGGTATGAATGAGGTACTGTACTGGATGCCTGAAATGGCAAAGCTCTGTAGAAGCAGAGGATTGTTTGTGTGTTAAACAATATTTGCTTCTGTGTGTGTAGGATGGGGGAAAGGAGATAGATGTCTGCTTTGAGATTATTCAAATCTGGCATGTGAAGCAGAGCATGCAGCACAGAGCCTAATTACTGCACGTGTGTCCTCATTCAGTTTTTATTATTTCATTTTATGGAATGTATGCTGACCTATCCTTAGAAGAGAAAACACTGGGCTCTGTTATGTTACCCTGAAATATAAACATGTCGGGGTAGATTTTGCAAAGGGTTTTCTCCTGGCTGGTGGAAGAGTTTCAAGCCCCACGCATAACCTGGCTGTTGAACACCCAAACGAAGCAGCAGCAGTCGCACGTGAATTCTTCCTCATAATTAAGGTCTGCGAACGGCACTTCGTTTGGAGCTTTCTGAGGGACTGGGTGGGTTTTAGGGTCAAGCAGATACAGCACTGAAGTACTATATTTTGGATAGAAAGAGAGTGCTATCAAAAGCGAAGGCATACATACTGGAGATTCTGCAGCGTTCCCGCCTGAGACTTTTTAATGTGTTTGCATCCAGCCTGGCCCCCTGTGAAAGTAGAGAAAACTTGTTATTCCTCCTGCTTTGCATCTTCCACGTGGAGTTCCAGAGAGTTTATTTGCTGAATAGCCTTTCAGGATGCGGAGGGAAGCCCAGAAATTTGGTGGCAGCGTATGCAATAAGCAAGGAGTCACTGAGTACCCAACCTGCAGGACCATTCGTCCTGTCCTTTCTTAGAAAGCAGGAGCTGTTAGAGATCCCCCCAAAAGCTCTCAGTAGAAGAGGAAGTAACGGAAAAGTGCTCTTAAAAATGCTCCATATCAGATATTTTAAAAAACTCATATTCTGTCTCCATGGGCATTTAGTGAGCAAATGCTCACCACCAAGGAAGGGAAGAACTGCACTTGAAAGCTCTAGTATTTCTGTATCGGGGGATATTCAAATTGATTTAAGAGTGATAATTTCAAAAATTTAATGACTGGAAGAAATTCTGCTTGTTCTAAGTAAAAGTGCTTAAATATAATGTGACTTCCAATTGTCTTCTCTTTCTGTGTCTAGAATTTCTTCCCAGAGCAAATGGTTGCCTGGTGCCAGCAAACAAATGGCAGTATCCCACAGTCACAACTTTTGCAGGTACTGTAAATTATCCATATGGACAAAGAAAGTTTTGGAGCTGGAGGGGAAAGATTGAGAGAAAGGAAGGGAGAATTAAAAGGTCTGGAAATAACTGGTTGGAGAAAGACCAGTGTCGTGAGTTAACATATGGTACTGGCATTGAAAATACCTGACAAAGATCTTACCCTAGTGGCATTGAGGTATAAGTTATAAAGTATCCATAGCTATGTTCATATATAGTTGTTCCATTAATCTGCAACTTACTCTGTGGGTACCTGGTTTGGTACCTGGAATTAAAAATGAAAGTTGCGTGCAGTGAGGTTGCAATGGGTAACCAAAACTGGTGTGAATAGGCATTGCCACGGGCTGGTAGGAACAGAGGTGTTCATGCCTTGGACCCTTTTTTTCTGCAGCGTAAGTGGAGAATTGAGTTTATTTGTTAACACCAGCAGGAAGACTCCCTAAAAGAGCAAGATGTTCTTGCAGATGGAAAAGTTTCAAACTTACCTTTTAAAAATATACACAACCATTTCTCATCATTTCAGTGACAGTTGTAATTTGTTGAAGGTAAACTTCCTCTGCAGTCTAATAGTCATAAAGTGTGTTGCATCTGCAGCTACCTCAAACATTGAGCAAGTATGCTGTTTTTAAATGCACACAAAATAGTGAAGAGTATTAAATACAATTTTGCAATATCATATTCTGCATTAAGAGCTAGATTTTTTTAGTCTTAACAGTAGCATTAGACAGCGGGATCTGTTTTCCCTGATGTTAGCCTGGCTCAGGTATGCAAAAAATATCCTTGTCTACTTTTGGTTTATCTGGCTGGACAGAGAGAACATACTCTCCCTTTGGTCTTTCCCTTTCACAGCTGAGAAGTGGATTTGTAGTACAAATCGCAGAAAAAATTGTCTGATCTTTTCTATACTGTTAGGTGAGATGGGGAGGATTAGGTTTTAATGCAACTAAGAATTCTGGCACAGGACACTGATTTTTGGTTTTACTTCCTGTGGGCATTGTCCACTAAATAACACCAGAAAACAATTTAAAGGCATCTAGGCCAACCAGATTTATGCCTATTTCTTCCTACTGTTGAATTTATTAGTTTGGCATTTAACTTACTGAGCAAGTCCTCTGTCACTTGAAAATCTAGCCCATTGTAATAATGGAGCAAGCTATCAATTCACTAACCGTAGTTAATACCTCCTTCCTGTGATGTATTGCAAATCAAATGATTCCATATGTGGTCTGTCTAATTAAGTCCAGAGCTTAAATACTTGTGGATCTTGAAGTCTAGTATAATTGCTGACACTTACTTAACTGCTCTACATTTCATTTTGAGTTAAATATTCTGTTGTCTGTCATACCTCTTGTCTTGGGACAGGTGCATGTGCTATATAAGACTTTAATGTGGAAAATCCTGAAATAGGATGTTCCCATTCTAAAAGTTTGGGATAAAGGCACAGATTTTGGCTAATGTTTCTAAGTTAAACTGCTCGCCAGAATTGTTGTGGCAAGGCATTATTTTAATAATAAGCTTACCTGGTGTCCTTTCAGGCCAAGTGCAAGAAGAATGGGGATACAGAGAAATGGTTAGCCTTTTGGAGATTTAAGTATTGGCACAGAGAATAGGAAAATGTCAGTGGCAGGAGGAGTTAGCTAGGTAGATGTTACGGGAGGAGCAGGAATATCCATTTTTGGTCGCGAATCAGTTTAAATATCTAGGTCAGTTTAAGCATAATGTGATGAAACTGCACTCCTAAGTCAGCAAAAAGTGATTTGCCATTTGCTTCTCTGTTCTGCAAATACAGTGACAATTTTATGATCCATCCGTAGGACACAATCCTCATTTACATTTTCCTCCCCAACAGAACTTTTTAAACTCCAGTAGCTGCCCTGAAATTCAAGGTTTCTTGCATGTGAAAGAGCTGGGTAGAAAATCATGGAAGAAATTGTATGTGTGTTTGAGGAGATCAGGACTTTATTGTTCTACAAAAGGAACCTCAAAGGTAAGACTAAAAACAAGGTTCGACAATTCTAGCATGCAAAAGCATTTTCTGCTTTTACAGTGGGTATTTTTTTCTGGTTTTTAAATATCTGCACACAGTATTCCCTTTTTTTGTTGCATAGAAAAGGATAAGCAAGTCATGATCAAATGACAATCAAGCCCTGGGCTTTCAATGCATGAAAATAGCTTGGTAGCATTATATAATAAAACTAAACTAGCTGGAAAACATCATTATAGCTACTGAAGACATGCTAACAATGTTAGCAAGAGAAATGCCCTCGCAAGCACATGGTTCATGAATTTAGTTTAAATGATAATGTAAATAATATTTTATGTTATCTACCTTTCAGATTTCTCTGTAGCAATTCATTAGGCTATGCTATTTTTAATGCGATGTGTTTATATTTGGTCAGCTTCTTGTGTAAAACACCTTCTGTTAGTGGGCTTATACTTGCAAGGTGACGTGCAGTGTCCACTTTAGGCTGCCCGAGAGGGGAGCACAGTGTTCATGCACTGCCCTCTGATGGAGGCTGCTCTTGAGACTGCAAAGCTTGTGGAAACACCTTTGAAATCTTGCACTTAGCTGTGATAAAACCCGTTATTTCTCCAGGAGCCAAGACATTTGCAATTGTTGGCTGACCTAGAAGACAGCAGTATCTTCTCATTGATAGCAGGCAAGAAGTTGTACAATGCACCTGCAGAGTATGGATTTTGTATAAAGGTAATTCTTCTCATGTTCCTGTGTACCTACTGTAGGTGATCCTGCTCTGGCAGGGGGGTTGGACTAGATGATCTTTCGAGGTCCCTTCCAACCCCTGACATTCTGTGATTCTGTGAAGTTCTTCCCAAGTTCAAGACAGTGTTGGTAGCTGCGAGGCCCCCCAGCTAAATGGGATTTGTATGTGAAACACTGTGAGCATTTCTGTCATGAGGACTTGGTCTTTTAACGTCTTTCATTTGGCAGACGTGTCCTGTGAATCTTGCCATCATTTTATGTGACACCTTTAACACTTTATCTGGTGCTCCTTTGGCTTAGGAAATTTCTGTGCAAGATCAGTTCAGTGCTGAAGTGTATGGTGTGCCTGTGAGGTGACCTTGGTTCACCTCAGAGATGAAACTTTTTTCAAAATGTTTTAAATGAATAGGAAAGTTTCTCTGGACAGCAATTAGCAAAACTACATAGCAACGAAGGATCAAGCTCCGATTGGGTATAATTGTTACCATTATTGTAGGCCAGGGATTTGCATTTATTTAAAGAAGATTGTCTTGGAAAATGGAAATAAGAATAAGCAGTTGCCTTTGAGAATTTTAAAAACTGTTGTGCTGATGGATAGGTTTGGGAAGTATTTCAAAGCTTCATGTAATTTTCTGACAACAAAATAAGGCTGGGAGCTGGTTTTATTGACAGCAGTGAAGTTGTCTCTTTCCTAGCAGCTGTTCCAGAGCTAGACAACATGGGTTTGCTTCCGCGAGTAGAGACTGCCTGCACGACACGTTTTGAGCTGGTGGAAGCAGACTTTCAGTAACCTTCAATTGTGGAAACTTTGGTTCTTCATCTCAAAATGGAGATTCATAAAACTTCTCACAGTTCAAAAAAAAAAAATAACCCAAAAAAATGAGCAAGCGCCTTGGTCCTGGTTCTAGCATGACCCAAGTAACCTTGTTCCTATAAACTGCCAGAACTGCAGGGTCTTTCAAAACAAGCAGTGACATTTCTCTTATTGGATCCAGCTGAGAAAGTAAATTTCTTTCGAACTTTGCTCAGCCTCTCCTGAGCTTCACTCCAGCGGGGCGTGAGCTTTTTCTGGCCAGTTCTTAGACTAATACTGTACCTACCTTTACTCTGCAGTAAGCTTACAGTGCTGTTGGCTTCCTTCTGAATATAGCTGACTTCTCTCTAATACTTTATAGCCCAACAGAGTGAGAAATGAAACTAAGGAACTAAGGTTGTTGTGTGCTGAAGATGAACAAAGCAGGACGTGCTGGATGACTGCCTTTCGACTCCTCAAGGTACCTAATCTCTTCTATGTGAATAGAGCTAGACCTATAGTTGCATTTGGTATTTTGTTCCTGAGAAAATACCTATATGTTCTTGAATATCATCTGCCTTCAGAATGATACAGCTAAGAGAAAAATGCCAGGAAGACCTCTCCCTCCTAACCTTTTAAGCACAGAACTGAGCTGAACTCCATCCACATATGAAATCAATTTTGATTCTGGTTTTGGAGTCAAATTTATGATATGTGAATGAATATTAAAAAAATGCTTAACAAGGTATTTTCAAGTTATCATAAAGCTAAAGAAAATGTTCTGATAAGTCTTCTGGTAAGTGGTTATCTCAACTAGAACAGAGTGCTATCTAGAACCTTTGCAATTTTTTCAGTTTTCTGAAGGTACTATTAAAAAAATAACAAAAATAAACAACCCTATCTCTAGGTGAAAGTTACTGATGTCTGAGAGCAAACAATGAGATTTCTTAATAATATGGCAGGAGGTTTCACAGGTTTTTTTGAAACGAAAGCAGCATGGAAGGAACTGAGGAGAAAGTTGACTGTTTCGTGCTCTTTCAAGCAGAGAACTTCCTGATCTTCATAGGGAAATGCCCAGAAGCTTTGTTTTGTTTCAGTTTTAAATCTTTCCCTGAAGATGCTGCCTTGAAAACTACTGTGTTCTACTCTGTGTAACTTAGTACGTCCTCCCTCATCATAAAGGAAATATGCACACATATTAAAAAAAATACAATAAATGTGTAGAAATTATGTGTTACCTGTGAAAATCTCACCTCTCTTCCATGCAGTTTTCCTACTCTCTAATATTGCATGGCGAAGCATAACATACAAAATGTGATAAAAAAAAACAGAGGCGTGCGCACAGTGGTACTGTGGTGCTTGACACTAGATATGTGTCCACCAAAATAGTTTGGAGAACCTTGAGCTCTATCAACTTTGTTGCTCCCAGTAGCAAACAGATAATTTCAGATTTGGAAATGAGGGCACAGCTGTTCCCTCTAACCTCCAAGGTCAGTGCACCAGCATTCTACTGGTGGATGCCTCACACCAGGCTGTGCCCAAAATGGGATGTGTAACCCAGGGGAACCTTGAGCACTTGGTCTCTCTGTCCTGAATGAAGAGTCACCATTCCTGCCTAAGTAGAAGCCCATGTCAGCAAAGCCTTCAGACCCCTCTCTGCCAAAATGCCCTTTTCCCCACCAGCATTTCACACCCACTGGCTAAATAGCATGCGTCCAAGGAGCCGAAAGGGAGTGGGTGCATCAGGAAGAGATGAGGTTTCATTGCTTCCTGGTCCACACGTGGCATTGACTGGAGATTTCCATTGCTGCGTGGGCACTGTTTATTCCTCCCCTCCCATTCAAAAAAAGTTTATCTCATTTGTTTATCCTCAAGACATGACAAATGTTTGCTACCATTACCAGTTCGTCTCCCCATGCAGAATTTCCATCATGCAAAACCCTGTAAGCATAGGGAAAGCCAATCAGACTCCTAGGCCTGCAGCTATGAAAGCGCAGTGCCTGTTGTCCATCTGCAAGAAGTGGCCACCTTCCAAACTAGAGCACATCTATTTCAATGATCTCCTGATACTATCTTATTTGTTAATTGCAAGAGATTCTGTGTTGCAGTACAGAAATCCCTAAATTAAGTTGTTCAAAGAGGAGGTCCGCTAGCCACAACATGGGTGTAAGAAGCAATCTCAGTTATAGGATACATATTCTATTTCTGCAGAGCTGACACGTCTGTTGGATGTCATAATCTGCTCTCCAGTTACTTAACTCATGTTTAAAATGCAATAACAATTATGGTAAGAGTTACAGTCCGCAGGCAATTCCAAGTGCTGCTTCTCTGCTGGCCTTTACTTTCCCTATTTACACAGAATTTTTGCATTGTGGACAAAGTGCTCAAACAGACAATCCGGTAACTGTTATGAATTGTGCCTTGAAGACACTACTTGTTTTGAAGAAATTAGTTACTTAGGTCGAGGCACTAACATTCCTGATCAGCAAGGAAAAAACCTTCACAGCGTATAGAATTAGCTGTTCTTACCAAATATATAGAACTGCATCGTGCTGTGCTTGTTCAGAGGAATCTTTCTTTGCATTGCAACCTTATGGCAGCAATGGTACCGTGTGGCAGTAATTTCTATATACTGGCATATAACATTCACCCTCAGGCAGTTTAACTAGGGGAAAAAAAGGAGTCTGTTTTTAAGGAACACTGAAAGATAATTAAAGGTGTTCAGTGAGGGAGAACTAAGGCTGTGCCCCAAGGCTGGAGCATCGACCCTCCTTTTTATTAACCTGCTGATTTAGCTTTCCACAGCCATATATTACCCTGTTTACAAAATTATGTATACCATTTCAATTAGAACATTCAGTAAGCAATGTTGCTGTACTTCAGTGCTATGCCTCTAGGGAAGGCACTGAGTAGGTGTTTTCCTGCCATCCGAGCTACTAGTGTTGCTAAAATTTATCATGTTCAATGAGGAGCATGACTGGAATTCAATCACCTTATTTTTATAGTACTGAAAGCATTA